CGCATAACAGTGCCTCCCACTCCTAACTCACCGAGACGCCGCAGCATGATACCGTGGTCTACAGTATCAAAAGCCGCTGAGAGGTCCAAAAGAACAAGGACAGAGGAATAACCCCTGTCCCGGGCCCTCCAGAGATCATTAACCAACGCGACCAATGCCGTTTCCGTGCTGTATCCCGGCCTGAAGCCCGACTGGTATGTGGAGATGTCTATAACTTCTTACCAGACCTGGCTCAAACATAGGGCATACTTTGCTCCTGAATATAATAGCTGAGGGAAAGGACTTGTAGCACTCAGCCAGTGCCATATGTTTTCTTATTTCTGTTCTAGTAAGGTGCCTATCTGGCACTTTCTTATGTTTCATAGAATCTTGAGTTTTTAATAATTAAGTGCTTGGAGTACTTTAAATACAGTTCCGAGCATGTGCTGTGAAGTATAGCAGTGGGCCCTTTATATAGAGGTGGGGAACAGACAAGCAGGTCCAAGTGTCAGGAGGCTAATGGAAATAAGAAAAATACAGTATAGCAATTTATTCACATTTGGTCCTTCGTGGTCTCAGAGAGAGAGCCTTAAAATAAATACACTTTCCCTAGAAATGTCCATTTGTCATCAGATTACAGTGTCCATTATGAGAAATGAGCTGTCTTGATAGTAGCAGTTTATGTCTTTTGGTCTTTCTTTCCCCAATTTGGAATCATAGATTCAGCTGAAGAAGTTTAGGCAGTCCTTTTCCTTTACAAGAATCAGTTGCTTTGCTCCCCATCTGATATTCTTGCTGGAGGAAACTGATTAGCTCAATTCATCATGGAAGTGAGTCATTTCATGGCCAGGCTTCTTTGAAGAGTTAGGGAGATTTTACGGGCATCGATAGAGAAGGTTAGCAGTGTTTCTTCCATCTCTGGCTTGCTCTGCATTATTACCAGCTTGCTTGCTATATCCTTAGTTATTCCGTTTCCTCCCTTCTCAGAAGCCCTACTCATCTCTAAGCTCACTAGGCACTGAAGCTTACTCCCAAGAAAATTGGTGTTTTTCCCCTCCCCACATAGATGGCCCACAGCTGCAAACATAGAGCCTTTCTGTAATTTTTTAAAACAATCACACCTTTTCCTATCGTGCACACTCTGAAACCTCTTCTTGGAATAAAATCTGAACTCCTGTGCAATCCTTTTAGTAACCATTCCTTGCCTTTCCTCCAGGGACTCCACAGATGTATCTTCAGAGAGTGACAATGCCATGACCTCTAGCACAGTAAGCAAGCTTGCAGAAGCCAGGAGGACCACCTATCTTTCTGGGCGATGGGTGTGTGATGACCATAATGGAGACACCAGCATTGGCATCACAGGGCCTTGGATAACCCTTCCCAACAATGGGGATTATTCCGCTTACTACAATTGGGTAGAAGAGAAGAAAACCACACAAGGACCAGGTAATGGGCTAGGCGTCTTTTAAACTATTTTGAGTCTCAGGGAGCCAGCTTCTTCATCAATTTTTTTAAATTAATATTGAAATGCAAATTCAGTGATCTTGCCCAGATATTTGGCATATTGAAATGTAGGAAAAGCACAGGGATACCATAAACAGCCTTCTGACTGAGCCATGATTTTCATGGGGAGCCTAAGAATTGCAGAGCATGATATTGGCTAGAGAGTTTCCCAAAAGCATATTTTTAGCTCTCACAGTTGAGAAGATGATTGCTCATTAACTGGCACTATATCTCAGAAATCTCAGAAGCAAACAGATTGACTGATCTCAATGCTTTGGCAACCCTGGGTGCCAAAAAAAACCCCAAACCCTTAGAGATCTCACACAAGAACTTTAGCGACACTTGGTGATTTTACAAAGGTAATTTTTAAACAGTTTATTTGAATTTGAGATTCCACAAGCAACATTCATAGTTGTTATGGGTACCTTGTTCTCTTTGAGTACCATATTGTGAATCCTTGGTCTTTGCCTTTTCTGGTGTGGCCATGAAAATTGATTTTTTTCCTTCTGTTCCAGACATGGAGCATAACAATCCTGCTTATACCATCAGTGCTGCTTTGTGCTATGCAACTCAGCTGACTAACATTTTGTCACTTATACTGGATGTAAACCTTCCCAAAAAGCTATATAACAGGTAAGGAATCTAGAAGGAGCTAGAACATGTGCAAAAACATTTATTGAGAACATTATGTTGAATGAACATTATGCTCTAGGAATTATAACCATTATAACATATCACTTTATATACACCAAAGTTTGAGTTCTAAGATTTTGCAGAAATACTAATAATTGTAGATTGACAGACTGCCAAGAATTTGAATGGATTCTGAGATGGTAATAAAACTTTAGAGATGGTGGATAGCAAACCCTCTTGTGACTTCATTTTTTTAAAAAACTGACTACCCAGGGCATTTATATCATTGGAGTAGGTGGGCACTAAATTTCATTTCCCTCTCCCTCCTTCCCCCCCGTTAGTTATTCCAACAAATCTATTTTGCCAAATCAGAGTGATCCAAAAGATGTTTATTTGCCTTGAGTCCTTGTTCAAGATTTTATGCCTTAATATTTGCCCCTTAATATATTTTGCAGTGAGTTCTGCGGAGAAAATCTTAGCAGGAGGAAATTCACCTGGGCAGTGAAAAAGCTAAATGCCAATATCCTTTACCTTTGCTTTTCTCAGGTAGTTTTCATTTGGTTTCTTTTCCTTCTTGGAAGGCTTTACATTGTTTCCTCCTCATCTTCCAAGTCCTGCCTGATGAGTATTCTGCTTTCCTTCATATGCTTTTCCAGCATGTCAATTTAGATCTTCTGCATCCTCTACATACACTCAGAAACTTGATGTACTTGGTCAGCCCTGAGACAGAACATTTGGGAAGGTAAGAAACAGTTCAATAACAAATGCCCCACTTTCTTCCCTGCCATCAATTGCTTTCTAGAAGAGCCTCCTAGCAACCCTTCTCTGTATCAAATATCGCTGTAAACAGTAGTGAAGTTTGATAAATACTGTATATTCAATACCTGACACCCATAACATCCACTCTGACTATCACCAACTCTCCAAGTCAGAGAGAAAAGAGAATTTGGTCCTGGAATATGGGATGGGCCTTTTCAATTACAGAATAATAATAATAATAGTAGTAGTAGTAGTAGTAGTAGTAGTAGTAGTAGTAGTAGTAGTAATAATAATAATAATAATAATAATAATAATAATAATAATAATAATAATAATAATAATAATAATAAAAAGTTGGAATGGACCTCGGGGGTCATCAAGTCCAACCCCCTGCTCAGGCAGGTAACCCTATACCATTTCGGAAAAATGGCTGTCCAGTCTTTTCTTAAAAACTTCCAGTGTTGGAGTATTCACCGCTTCTGGAGGCAGGTTGTTCCACTGGTTAATTGTTCTAACTGTACTTTGTTAAGGAATTATGAATTTCCAGGTACAATAGTAGGAGTAAGTTTCTGACTTCAGTTGATAGCTTGCCTATTTTTCAGTTTTTCTCATTGTGACAAGGGATTGAACTTTGTCTCAGTTCTGCACGAATTGCCATATCCCATAGAAAACCAACACTTCTTGTAACTTGATGCTTTATGGGGTCTCCCAAGTATTTATTCCCTTATTCTGTGATTTTTTTTAAAAAAAATCTTGCTTCATCATGCAAGCTTGCTCCGAATGAGATTTTGAGTCAGTTGCTCAGCCCAAGTGTCACGTCTTCAGCTTTGACTCTTTTACTTCAGCTCAAACACCTTTAAACATAAATGTGTGCTTATTTTTTCCCCCCATTTTTGCTACCGATTGTGTGATCAAGCCTCTCTTTCTCTCCCCTCCCCTTTCTCCCTCTCCCCCTCCCCCTCCCCCAACAGGTCTGGACCATTTGAAATCAGTGCCGATTTGGAAGATTCCATGGAGTTTGTGGACCCCAGCGGTGCTGGTGAAACAGATGAGAGTGGAGATGAGCACATAAGTGATGAAGAAACTGACCTTGGAACAGACTGGGAGAACCTGCCCAGCCCACGGTTCTGTGATATCCCCTCCCAGCCGGTAGAGATGCTGCAGAGCCAGAGCACGCAGGCTTCTCAACCGATAGCCAGCAGCAGTGCTGGTGGCATGATCTCCTCGGCAGCAGCCTCAGTGACCTCTTGGTTTAAGGCATACACTGGACACCGTTAAGAAATAGTTGGGCCTCTATTGACCCACCGTCACTGTAGAAGACTTTGTGATTCAGTTCGGTAGTGCCTGGAACAAGGGGTGGGGGGGGGAGGGTGTGTGTCTGACTTTCATTTGCAGAAGGTCCAGCAGCTCTTCATTTGCCCATGCTGTGAAGTTCCTCCCGTTTTCTGACACCTGCGACGGAATTCAGCAGCTCGGAGTCACAGTCCTTTTTTTTTTTTGTGTGCTGAAAAGAATTACCTGAACATTTTATTTCTAGTCCGTGTTTTCTAAAAGAAGCTAAGAAAGGCAATCATTTGAAGCGTGGAGACAGGAAGAGAATCATGGAAGAAAGCAATCTGAGAGTCATGCAAATGCTTAAACTCATCCTGGTCAATCAGTTCCAGCAATGCCCTTGGACTTCTTGGTTTTGTGGAGTGTGCATCATTTACAAACTTACCACACAAATGTACATTTCAAGAACCTTCTGGCAAATGATGCTTTTTAAATGAGTTTCTAAATTCTGTTGCCATAATTTTAATACAGAAAACCATCTTTTTTTAAAAAAAACAAAAACAAAACACTACTGGCGATAATTCTGTCTTTTGTATGTGTTGCGTTCATCCATTAGAAGATCTTTCTGAATATTTTTCACAGTGAACCATCCAGAGTTTCCAGGCTCCTTGATCTAGCACCAGACACCAAAGAAAGGCTGGCCCATAATAATTTGCAAATATAGAGCCACTCTGCTGTAGTCAGAAAGTTTGTATTCATATGTTCTTTCATAGGGTGAAAGCACACTTCTGTTGCAGTTTGGTTTTGTGTACTACATGTTCTCTGTCTTTTGGAAAGCTGGCACTCCAGAGATGAGAACATGAGGACTTATCCGCCTTTTTGTGTCAAGTTAGTGGATAAAGAATGTTGTACATAGAATTTGAAACTGTTGTGATTTTGTTTTGAGTTTTGGAAGGATTTTAGAAGTAAAAAAAACTTTCCATTTTCATTGTATTATTCTTGTCAGTCGTCCTTTAACATAGGTTTATATATTAAACCTACTTCAGATGCTCCCTTGGCTGTCAGTCAGTTTGCATGTCTGTTTATGTTTGTCCGTGCAGTATTGGCTCTACATGCTGAGATCAGAACTTGGGGGTTAGGCAGTTTTGCATTATTCTTCCCATTAACAAGGATGAGGAACAGTCTTGCAGTTCAGGCTTATTTGAGGATTCATCACGTCTTTCATACGCACATCTTCCAAACCATGTGTGGAACTCCAATGAGAAAATCTCTCTAACCAACAGGTCTGGGTAGGGATTGCTTATATTGTAATGGAGTAAGGAGAAAATGGCATGTAACCATTGTGCTCCTTCATAAAGCAGTTTCTGCCTTCATATTGCCTAATGATCCAAAATATTGGTTAGGCAACTGAAGCTTCTGTTACATCTTTTGTATGCTGCCCCATTTGTGGACTCTGGGTATGTAGTTAATAGTCCTAGCAATGTGAGGTTTAGATGCTTTTCTGCCTTGGAGCCGGTTCAGCCTTTCAGCAGAGCAGTCTTCTATTTAAGCCTGGAGTTCATATAATGAAGTGCATAGGGTTTTAAGTAACTTTGCTATGCAGATTTTTTCCCCTGCCAAATAGGAATTTATCTGGAGGATAGGAAAACTAGTCCTTTATATTTCTGTTGCTAAACCAAAGATTGCTTTAGTTAGGTGTTTTGATTTAAAACCAGATGGTGTGATTCTTCCATTCATAAGACTTAGCATAGAAAGATAGCAATACAATGATCCACATGCATCTTTACTGGCTTCTGTGGAAGCTATATTGATTTACAAAAAACTGGAGGGGATGGAATTGTGACTTTGGGCTTTGTCTCAAAGATCTTTGGTGACATAGGATTGTCCTCTTATGAAATAAATGGAAATTTGTAAGAAGCAAGGCACTTTATTAGTTGCAGGTGATATGGGCTGCTTAACATTGACTGCAGGGGGGGTGGAATTGCAGGTGGGCTTTCAACACTGTAAATACGTTTTCTGTTGTGTGTTCCTTTTCTCTCCTGCTTATTTTTGAATGCAAACACTTGGAAATTATTTCTAGTGAACTGAGGGAAATAAATTTAAAAAGCCAGTAAGCCATGAATCCTTTTTGCTTGTCAGTTTCAACTTCTTAAAATGGTGCCTCTCTCCTTCAACAGTGGAACATTGCTTTGGAGGCCACCGAAAGGCATCCAAATAGTAATAAGGTAGAGTGCTGCTCCCTTTCAAGAAAATAATTGTATTTTTGTAATGTTTTTACACTTCTAGAGCTGTCTGGGGAAGCTACAAAAACGTTTCTATCGTAAAATCACAGTGCAATAGAGGAACATTCTGCTTCATTGACAGGGAAACCATTGATGGGTATCCTGGGTTTACATCACTAATTGCACATTTTGCAAGACATTACGGTGTCACAAAAGTAGAGCCGTATATTTAGGCCCAAGAATCTCAACATGCTTAATGGGTTACTAGAAATACAGTAAGCAGCTTGCTGTCTGAAAATTGGTTCTCCAAACAAGGATTGCTAATTGAGTATCCCTAAATCCTTAAGCTTCTTTTTTTAGCTCATGACTTTGTGGTGCCACTTTCAAACTAGTAGCCCTAACTAAATGCAAATGTGTTTTTAAAATTGTACTACTGCAATAAATCTTTGGGGTTTTTTTTAAATTGCTTGGTTTGATTTTTACTCTCTTCTGATAGAGCTGTTATCATTAGAACTACTTAATGTCCATATGCATGTATTTTAGTTGCAGAACACTATGAAGGAGAAAATACACATTTCATGCTAAAAATATCTAGTGTTTATATTATCAAGAACTTACCTAAAGAAAACATTTGGCAGGAATCTTTTCACTGGTTATAACCCCAGATTGAACCCTTTCCCCCCTAATATGTGATGCAATTTAGCCATCCAGATGTAGCTAATTTTATAACTTAAGAAATGAAAATTGAAAGGGAGCCTATAAATGACATGTTATCTGTAAATATTGGAACCAATAACTGTTTGACTAGCAGAAGCCTGTTATATTTGAATGTTTGGATGTTTGAATCAAATTGATCCAAACTTTTTTATAGTAATTTCCTAGCAGTTCAATCACCACTACTTGTGATAGGTAAGAACCTGGCTTCTGTCGAGAACTGAGAGTATCACATAGCTAGTATGTTCAGAATACATAGAAGGCAAATTACACATTTAGCTGTAATATCACCAGAGACTGGGGGATGAATTCACAGGATGGGAAGAGGCTGGTATGGGGGCCTTGGCATGCTTACTGGAACAGCGCTGACCATGACAAGGGAAGGTGTGCAACTGGTGAAGTAGCTGAAGCTTCAAATGATAGCTCTACTAGTCACTTGCAGACAGCAGGAGAGGCTCATTGACTTGTCTTTCTTTCATGGAGAACTGGCTTTCTTGTGTTACACTTAAAAAAAAAAAACTCCCACATTTAGAAATCTTCAAATAATTCAGTTGGGTGGGAAAAACAAATACTTTGTGATCTACAATTAGACATCTTAATTTACAACAAGTGTTTCTGACTCAAAAGTCATTTTAGGATTGAATTCAGTTTCTGATGACAACATTGATGTGTCTGTCCATCTAGTTTTCTTACCAATAAAAGAGATGTGATTTATCATTGCCATTTTTAGGGATGTTTTTCAGCTTCCTTATTACAGTTCCAAGATACCCTAGTGATTGCCTACGTAAGTACTAAACTGACCTAACCCTACTTAGGGTCAAGCCAGCCAAATGGTCCAGGTGCTATATAGTTCACTCAGATGTTTCTGCCAAAACAGTTTGAAATCAGATATAGAATTGTTTGGCACTAAAAACAAATTCCAGAATGAACAAATATTGTGAACCATTAGTTTTGCACCTGGCTCAAGTACGTACCTTGTGTCTTTTGAACATAAATCGGAACGGCTGAAGACAGTCTATTCCTGCATGTTTGGCAGTGCCTAAGTGGAAGTAGTGTCTCATGTTTCACAGTGTATACAATATCCCATTGTGTGTACAGATTACTTTGAATGATACCCATTTCAATTAACTCTGAGAAGCTGTTTAGGTTTGATCCAATCATAGGGATGGATCTTATTAAATTCTTTCCTTTTATTAATAGCCCTTAATAGTTATGCAATGCTTTTGATTTTTAGAGTGTTTCTCTGACTAAATCCTACAAGTTTGTCCATATGAGGCTTATTGTGCTGGAAGCAGCACACCAGCCATCTTCATGGTCTTAATCAAAATAAGAGTTGGAAGGGACCTTGAAGCTCTTCTAGTCCAACCCCTTGCTCAAACAGGAAACCCTATATCATATTGGACAAATGGCTGTCCAATCTTTTCTTGAAAACCTCCAGTGATGAAGCATCCACAGCTTCTGAAGGTAAGCTGTTCTACTGATTATTCTCACTGTCGGGTAGTTCTAGGTTGCTTCTCTCCTTGATTAGTTTCCATCCATTCCTTCTTGTCCTGCCTTCAGATGCTTTGGAGAATAGGTTGATCCCCGCTTTTGTGGCAGCTCCTTAGATATTGGAACACTGCTATCATGTCATCCCCAGTCCTTCTTTTCACAAACTAGACATACGCAATGCGTGCAACCGTTGTTCATGTTTTAGCCTTCAGTCCCAATCCTTTGTTGCTCTTCTCTGCACTCTTTCTAGAGTCTCAACATCTTTTTTATATAGTGGTGACCAAAACTGGATGCAGTATTCCAAGTGTGATCTTACCAAGACATTATAAAATGGTACTAGCATTTCACATGATCTTGATTCTCTTAATGCACCCTAGGACTACGTTGGCTTTTTTGGCAGCTGCATCACACTGCTGACTCATATTTAAGTGCTCGTCTACTAGGATTCCAAGATCCCTCTCAGTTACTACTACTGAGACAGGTACCATACTATACCTATGCATTTGGTTTTTCTTGCCTAAATGTAGAACCTTTTTTCACCATTGAATTTCATTTTGATAGTGCCCAGTGTTCAAATCTGTCAAGATCCTTCTGTATCTTAACCCTGTCTTCTGGAGTGTTGGCTATTCCTGCCAGCTTGACCCAGACACGTTGAATGGTCCTAGGCAGGCAGTAGTGAGTTTAGTGAGCCCTTACTCAATCTTATCTAGAATGGGCTATTCTGTATGACAAATTGAAAATCATGTAATTTTTCTTCCAATAATCTCAGTCCTAAACTGCATTAATGGAGGGATAGAATAAAGATCACATAAAGTGTTAATACTTTATAATAAGACCACATTTGGAATACTGCATCCAGTTTTGGTCGCCATGATATAAAAAAGATGTTGAGACTCTAGAAAGAGCATTGCAGCAGTTGGGTACGTCTAGTGAAAAGGACTAGAGGTGACATGATAGCAGTATTCTAATATCTAAGGGGCTGCCACAAAGGGGCTCAACCTATTCTCCAAAGCACCTGAAGGCAGGACAAGAAGCAATGGATGGAAACTAATCAAGGAGAGAAGCAACCTAGAACTAAGGAGAAATTTCCCAACAAAACAATTAGTGGAACGACTTGCCTCCAGAAGCTGTGGGTGGTCCATCACTGGAGGTTTTTAAGAAGAGACTGGACAACCATTTGTCTGAAATTGTATAAGGTTTCCTGCTTAAGCGGGATTTTGGACTAGAAGACCTCCAAGATCCCTTCCAACTCTTGTTATTCTGTTATTTCCTAAGGGTAACCTGAGATTTGTGGTAGAAGTGAAATCCGAGTTCCTAGTTCAAAATCTTACCTCATACCCATACATACATGCTACAGATTATTGTATATAGTCATGTTCTAGCTTTATAATGAGGGATCCTGTAGTTCAGCAACATCAACTCACTATTCCAATGTTAGTAATTAAAGAAAATGGGATGATAGTTATGGTAATATCCATGGGAAATATCCATGAGTAGCTGCGTGAAGAGTTACTCAACTTAGGCCAAAAAATGCTGAAGAAACTGCTTTATTTGAGTTCTTTAATGAACGATACCAATTCTCTCAATTGGTCATCTAATTACTGTGCTAACTAGAACTAACTATGATTACCATGAAATTTCAGAGTCTAGAGCATGGGTGTCAAACTTGCGACGTATCGTGACTTTTTTCCCCATTGCTGGCAATGGGGTGGGTGCAGTTTTGGTATGATGGATCCGGCCCGTGGGCTGACAGTTTGACACCCCTGGTCTAGAGTGTGGCTGGTCACCCCTCTGTCAAGTGTCTTCTTGTGATTGGACTTAAGAGATTATTCTTTATTGTATGCTGATCTAATAAAAGCAACTGACCAAGGAAAAAGAAGATATTTATAAAGAAGGAAATAATACAGAACCATAAGGTGGCCTCCATCTTGCTGGTAAAGTGCTTTCAGTCTGAAGAATTCTGGTTGAGCTTCATTATATCAAATTTATATGGCTGGCCATTTCACAACAGGTGACTGGGTGGCACACAACAATGATGCCATTTGGTGGCTATTTGTCCACTAGTTGACCTTCATTTTTAAGAAATTATTTCCCCCAGTATGGCTTAGAATGCTGTTCCATTTTTATAGGAAGTGTGTTGATTCCCATCTACACCGCCAAAACAGGAGAAAGTAATGTAAGTAACCTTTATGAATGATAAAATTTGTAAAATGTTAACCCTTCAACACTTAAAATAATTTTCATCTGAATCTGAGATCTGCAAGGATACCAATACCAAGAGGATTTTGTTGTTAAATGCAATGGTAGGGGTGTGTTGCCCTGATACAATATATTTCACAGCTGTTGCAATCTCTGATTTGGCTCATGGCTGCCAGATTGAACTCAACCCTTCAAAATAAAGTCTGGATGCCTTCTCCATAAAGCACGATACCAACCAATGTTTTCTTGACAAAACCTTAGAGCAGGAACGTCCAACCTTGCTAAGACTTGTGGACTTCAACTCATGGCTGGCTGGGGGATTCTGGGAGTTGAAGTCCACAAGTCTTAAAGCTGACAAGGTTGGACACCCGTCTTACAGGAAATAATGGCAAAACTAGAGGTTCCCATTACCCTTTCAGATTAGAAATTATTGCCAAGGTAGTACCCTTAATTAAGAACATAGCAATTTCACCTATATTTTCCTCTTCTTCCATTACTTCCCAAAATTTAAGCCAACTGAGCTGTTGCCTCTTTTTAAGGGAGTTCCACACTTGGTTTATTTTCACAGCTGAAATTCTCAAATCATTTTGAACTTCTCTGTTTTGCTTTTATATGAAGCACAGTGCTGACAAATAAAACATTGCTTCCTATTTCTTTGAGTGTATTTTTCTTAAAAATAATATAAAAGATTTGCTGCAAATGTATGAAGTGTAAAAACCATTTCAACCTTTCATTTATATATATATATATTTAATTTTAGTGTGCAGTATCTTGAAGGTGTAAATTTGCAGAGCATGTAACAATTCATGAAACTAACCAATCTTTCCAAAAAACATTATCAGGTTTCTCATCTTGCATTTTTTAACTTCATAAAGGTGCCAAGTTCAAAAAACACTGCTCTAAAATATTTGTAGTATCTCCATTTTATCCTAACTAGAAAATTAAACAATTCAATTAAGCAATTAAACCATTGCTCAGGATATACTATAGGACTACACATTGACTGATGTAGAATCCAGAAAGAAAGGAGGGAATTCTTCAAGCTAAGGACAAATCTAATTTTCCATAAGAATAACAATGTATTCAGGAAGAACCAACCAAGGAGATTACAATTAAAACAGACTGAAGCCTGAAACCAGATCTCGATTATAAAGGGAATCAGGCACAGAAAGCTTGCTTTTTAATAGTCAAAATATGATTCATGAGGAAAGTTGTTTCGTGATATAAACAGCTATTTTAGTGTAAGATTAATTCTGTTTGTATGAATTTCTGTAGAAGACATCACTATAATAAACATCAGTTGTCTGCATTGTTACTGATTAAATCACAGACTGTCCTATTAACCGGTTATATCTGGCAAAGAGTCTAGGTTTATTTTGAAACTGGCACCATACAAATGATGTAATATGTAGTTAAATACACACAGGTATAGCTAATAGTATGTTATTTGATCCAGGTCAATGTTTATGCAAGCTGGGAATCTCAAGAAAATTTTGTGGCTGTCTGCAAAAAAAGATAGTGTAGGTTTAATTTGTGAAGGCTGATAAAATTTTCTGGGATTTGCAAAATTCATCAGACATGGTTAACATCTGTAATATTCATTTTCGTGTCTTTGATATTAGAATCTGCTGCCTCTAAAAAAATAATGTGCCACAAAATACACATTTATTTCCCAAATAATTTCTTTTAAGTACTAGGTACTTAGTAATTTTTCTAAGCACTGGGAAGGAAAAAAAATGATAAAGGACAGATTTAGAATGCACATTTTATTAAGTAAAAAAAAAACCCAAGATAAGGTGGATGCAATAGACCAGAGCTCTCTTGTTATATAACAACAATCTTCTTTTTCCTGCTACCACCCTCAAATATAACCTACCGCAAATGTGTTCTAGTCGTTTTAAGGTTGTCCAGTTAAACCATCCTTTTTGAAGATTGATTTTTTACATATTTAGAGTTTCCTTTCAGAAACAATGTTAATATATATTTATATATATTTATATATATAAATGTATATTTTATACATGATATACAGATTTGAAAACGAGACACTTTTAAAACACAGGACTTGTAGCCGCAAACACTGAGGTACTGCGTTGCAGCACTTTGATGTTGGTCAACCGGCTGTCAGACACCCAAGATGAAGCTATTCTAGAGCACTTTATGTACACGGGTGGGCTAAACACAATCTTTTCTCTAAAAGGTAAAAAGGCCTTTGTGATTTAAAGTATGTGCAGTTTCGTAGCCCTGTGGAAAAATAAAGAAAAACCACCCAACAACTACATACAGTGTAAACATCACAAGGCATGGAATTCTCCTCCTACCCATGATTGAGGCTCCCAAAAGATGTGCAGAATGTGCTAACAGTCCTCATCTATTTCCCTGGATTTCTTGTGAATCGCACGATTAAGGTTATGGCAGGCGGGGACCCAATGATTGTCATGGAGGCCTAACTTGCATCCGGGGACATTCTTTTGGGATCTGTGACAACACATCCAGTACCCGGGCCCGTAAGGTAAAGCTTGGCAATAGGGCTTGGGGTGCCACCGACATAACGAGACGTCGCCCTTGGCGTACTTCTTTTTGCACTGTTTGCAAGGGTCTTCTCTGTAGCGTGGATCACGAACCCAGCGTGAATCTGCTGGCCTGACATTGTAGTACTCAATGATAAATTTGAAATATCCACAAGTGCATTTGAGTGCCACCAGACTCTTGGTGGGCAATAAGCCAAATATCTTCACCATAATGTGGTGGGGCAGGAAGACCAGATATTGCTGGGGCTCCAAAAGTTGCTGGATCTTAAACCTGGTTTCCAAAAAGTCATGAGACCTTTGCCTCTTTAGATGAGATGAGTCAAGGATCTGCAGTGCGTTCTCTGAGGAAACATCAGGGCAGTCACCTGAAACATGGCTTCTCATACAAACTTGGTCAGCAGAGGAAGCTTCCTTTCCTTGGGTCCCTGCTGGACATTCCTGCGTAGGAGTCTCCACTGACTGCAGGCACTCTTGGGAGATTTCACATTTGGATAATAGCAAGAAAAGTCTTCCTGGAAGAGAATCTTCACCAAAGCTCAAATCAGAAGACAGGGTTTTTTTGCAATTCTGATCTATCTTGCTGACAGATATGCTAATATTCAAGGATTCACTCACTCTCACATTTGAATTCAAATTAGGAACATCTACGGATTCTTTTGGTGTACGTTCAGTTGATGAAGATTTGTTATATAAGAAATGTGGAGATGTCTGAACAGCTTCTGAATACTTAGAGGGATGTGACTCAGTGGTGTTTTGAGAATTATACCAGTTGACGGATATGGTTCCTTGCCCATGCTTAAGATCATGGTTGCCTTCAAGAGAATCATCAAAGGAAGACTGGCCAGAAGAGGGACCTTCGCATAAACAATCTTCCACAGAGTCATTGTGCTTTGATCCCCACCCCACCTTCTCATCATTACATTCTTCTTGGTGGAGGACCAGAGATGATACCTTGTCAGACTCGTTCTCTTGTAGTATTCCACTTGCCAGGAGCACTCGCCCTACATTCCGCCGGAAGCTACTATTTCTAGACAAGCTCCCTGCTTCACGTTCACTTTGGCGCCTCAGGCACTCCGATTCAAGCTTTGCAACCATCTCCAAGACACGCACTGGCTCAGCCTGCTGCTCTATACTGTGACTGCCACAGGGTGGCTTTTCAGATGGAACCTCGCAAGCCCTGAAGTCAGAAAAGAACCCAGGAGCACAAGGAGCAGCCTTAGGTTGCCCGGCAAACCTGGGCACAGCAGAGGCACTGGGACAGTTTCTGGTGCAACTGGCCAGCAAAACACTTGCTCTTTGCTCCAGGAAAGCAACCATCTCAACCACTGATAACGGTCGAACAGGGAACCCCCCTTCACCACCATCATTCACATTATGTACGGAGCAGTGCTCAATGCCACAGGCAAATGGCTCGGGCTGGTAGCACCTCGCATTGGCCTCTCTCATCCTTTCCAAGTGGATCTTGGCCTTTTTGATATCTAGTGACTTTTTCCGGCGTTTGGTTGCTCGCCCATCTATGTCCCAAGTGCTTTTGTTCTTCATGGAAAATATTCGGGCCTCACTACATAGCTGGGCTGCAAAAAAGGCTATTTTCTCTTTTGTGTTCCCAGGCTTTACAACCGCCCAGATATCCAGCAGTCCCTCTTCCTCTTCCCCCTGATGGATGGAGGCAGGCGGGGTAGCTCTCTTCTCTTTGACCCTGGGTGCTTCCACATGGCTTTGGTTGCTGTTCCTACTATAGGGTGTATTGGTCGAGAGGTTCCCCAATGGTTTCCAAAGAGGCGGATTGGGTAAACATTTTGGTTTGGGGTTCCTAGTTTTTTCGTCTTTCGCTAATCTCTGCTCGCTCATGGGTGGGCTTCGTGGAGAGTCCAGGCTTATTTCAAAAGATCTCTCTTTCTTCTGTAACTTGAGATAGGGCTTTAAGTGCATTCCAGATATTCTGGAGAGGAAAGGGAGTAAGAAAGAAAAGATACACTTTAAAAAAATTGCTGATTTAAGGGTAAATATGAATTTAAGGATTAAAACTGCTCTATGAACTTTGGAATATTACATTGTGGGTTGGGCTGCAAGTGCAAATCACTGTATTGGGGATGGATAAACCACATGGAAAGGCCCTCAGGTACCCCAAATTCTTTCTTTTTTTCAACTCTGTGTAATGGAAAGCTGCCAGCATGAAAACTGGTAGCATAATTTTCTCAAATTACCAATATAATATATCTGTTAAGATTTCAGCAGGTAATAAGGCACCTAATATACTTTTGTAAAAGGAATAGAC